GAACTGATCGGCAGGGTGAAAGGAGAGATGACCGACAAGGTGAAAGGCGAACTGAGCAAGATGCCGGCCGAGAAGAAAGGAGACCAGATTTCTGGGGTGGTGCAAGACCAGAAGACAGAAGAGATGCGCCAGAAGGTCGGAGGCAGGAATGGAGAGATGAACGAGTTGACCACAGAGGTGACAGGAGAGATGACTTCGGAGACCGAGAGATGACTTCCGCACCGGTCTCCGATCGAAGGGATCCAAGGCCGGCGGCCACGCTGAAGGTCGATTCCCGCTCGGAGCACCACTGGAAAGACCCACGTCCTCCACGTCCTCCGTGGGGCAGCGGCCTCCACGCGCGAAGCGATGGAGAGGACCCAACGAGGAGAGACGAGCAGAGACGTGACGAGAGGCGCGTGGGAAGCAGCTGGTTCCGGGTATTGTTTTTGGGTGCGCAGACAGGTGGCACATGGCTGGTCCTCCAGTGGGGTTGGCACACAAACTTGGAGTTCTTACAAGGCCACCCTTCACACGGAGAGGGATTCCATTCCGATCTACACAGTGATGTCGGCCCCATTCTGGAAATCCAAGCAATTCGCATCGCAATCATTGTTTTTGTTAAACCAGATCTTGAGAAGTGATGACCCACCCCCTTATTGTAAGATACTCGTCCAGCGGGTGCGCACCTACCTGAGAACCTGACTCCACCGGGTGCTACGCAGCAGATTCTTCGACATCGCATTCCCAGGTTCCAGGTTTGGTCGAGGATGGAACTGTCAATGGTGGTGCTCAATGACTTAGGTAGGTGTGTGGACCTAGGCCTTGGTGAACCCCAAGAAGGTGTCAATGGAACTACCATGTTTGGCCCAATGGAACTACACTCTGACGAACACATCACATGGAAGTGGAAAAAATGGCCCTACAAGAAGGCGGTTTTCCATTTCCATGTGAGAGACGTTCGGATGCGGATGTGTACCATTTCTTCGCATCCAGTCCAGAGAGACATACCTGGATGCGAGTGTACCTGGAGTGTACCTGGAGTCCAGAGAGACGTTCCTCAACTCTTGGGCTCCCCACGAGGGCTCCCGTCCCTCCACACCGCCTCCCCACACCGTCGCCAGGCGCGCGGCCGCGGAGCCGCGGCCAGGTGCGGTGCGGGTGCTTGGGCGCGACGGTGGGGTGGACGGTGGGGGTGGAGGAAGAATCAGGTGCGGATGAATCGTAAAGAATCCGGTGCACTTGACGTCTGGGTCGGCAGAAAAACCATCCAAACACCCACAAGTTCGGAACCCACCGGGTTGAGAAGGCCTTTTTCCGGAAGCGGAAGGGTCCATAGGGGTCCCAACCTTTTGCACATTGGACGCGACTCATTGGGCGATGTCGATGCCGCCGATGCCGATGACTGCAGTCCCCGATGCCCGTGATGAGCGGATTTCGTGTGGCTGAAGTCGTGAATGGAAGCAGCCAGGAGGTACAGATGGGTCACCAACGCTGCTATAGGCTATGACTCACAAACCATCTGGTGTGTCTTAACCCTTCCCACAACCGACAACCGACACCAAGACGGGGCGTGCTTTTCACAACTCCTCCGGGCCGTCCTCGGTCCGAAAGCGCTCGTCCTCTACCGTTTGGGGCGGTGGAAAAGCGGGTGGTGCCAGGAGATGGCAGGCGCGAGCGAGATGAAAGGAGGGAGGAGTTGGATGACACCAGGCTCCCCTTCGGGTCGCGGGTGGCGGATCTTCGAGTGGCTAATCCGCGGGCTGAGCGGAGGAGGATGGGGTGGATCTCATGATTTTGGGTGTCGAAGGAGTCGAAGGCGATGGTTTCTGGATTCACCTCCCCGAAGACTTGCCTCTTGGAGCCTCGGAAAAGGGACACGATTTGATGAGCTTGTGTTCGATGCATTTTCTGTCATCCGCAAGTAGCTATCATAGGGACTCTAAATGAGCTGAGACCCCTTTCCGAGAGTTTCTTCTATTCTTCTAGGGACCATCTTTGGGGATGACTCCACACTCACCAAAGAACCCTTTAATTTTGGGATCGCGTGCCTCTTTTTGCCCGGGGGAAACTGAGCAAAGACTCGGCATCGAACACAGCCGGAACGACAGTTTTCCGTGCCTTTCCCTTTTTGAGATCAGACATGTGTCACTTTAGAAGAGTGTACTCAAGACTCACACCTGCAGAGGAAGTATCAAGATGAGGAGGCTTTCGCTCCTACACCTTCTTTACACTTGGCATTCAAGGGTTTGGGTCAAGAGGTGATGTACACTCCATGTGGACGCCCCTTCCTGTTTCGCCCTCCACATCCATGTCGAGGGATGGTGAATGGAGTGTTGGACCCTTTTACTTTTGAGGCCAGATTGGGGGCTCAAGCATCGGGTCCAATGAGGAGAACTGAATCAGAATCAGTTGATCCCCACCTTTGCCACTTTTGGGCCTGTTCTATCTATGTTCGTCCCCAGAGACCAACAAGTGATACGCAGTCGACTGGACTTACGATCGAACCCAGACAACGACGGAAGCTGAACCAGTCGGGTGAAGCTGAACCAGCTCGCTCAGTCCTCATGTCTGAACCCAACTCACGGACAAATCCAGTAACTCACGGACCAAGGCTTTGACCGCTTAGATTCTGCACATTCCAAGGCCCAACACATCCCAACAATAGAACCTCAAGGACTGAACATCTCCTCCACTCCTCCCCTCCCCTTCCCATCACGGCCTCTCCAGGCCCTCCCGTCCCGGGCCCTACGACCGGGACGCCCGGCCGTGCGCGGCCGCGCGCGACGCGCCCGGTGCGCGCAACGACGGCTGGACCGTCAGGTGCCGCGGGTCCGTCCGGGTGGGGTTTGGATGGGTTTTGGAGTGTTTTGAAGTGTTTTGATGGTGGAACATGGCGAAGCCTTAAGCAGGTAGGAGCCCGGAGCAAAGTCTGTGGCTGCCTTGATAAAATGGCTGCAGTCGAAATGCTTGCAGAACACACATGACAGTGGCCTGACGAAAGAAACAGCAGGGCAGGTGATGCGGCCAAGTGGTGTTGAATCGGTGGACAAACACAGCCTGCAGTGGCCGGTTCTTTGAACAGATTGAACAGATGATTCTTCATGGTCATAGGAAAGAAAGGGAGTCACATGGGCATCACCATGAAATGACATGGAAAGACAGCTTGGTGGGATTTTTCGTCATTCCTTCGCTGTTGCGCTCCAAGCGTTCACTGTTACGTGACAGGCATGAAGAGCGGACTGGTCGCAGATACTCCGAGCCCTGGTCCAGTTGGCAAAAAGACGCCAGACAGAGCCAGACAGAGCCATTGACCTGAAAACCAGGCAGGTTTTATTCCTCTCCACCAGGACCCTGCCAGTTTATGAACCCCCAACCTGAAAACAACGATTCTTTGCTTTTCATCGTTTTTTTTCTACCATTTTCGTTGTTGGGGGAGTGAAATGGTGGGCCGTGTCGTTGCCATGGGCCTGGCTGGAGCGATCTATAGTGACCACTTGGTGTTGTGGACATACGACATGTAATTTCTGCATTTTTCTTTTTTAAACTTTTTTAAATGTTTTTAGTAGACCTTGTCCAAGACGGAGGCTTGCTGGAAGGGCTTGAAAGGCTACTGCAAGATGTGTTGAACTCTCTTGATGTGGACTGCTTAGACGACTCTTCTACCTCATACAGGAAGTGTGGTAGGCACAAGAACACAATGATCAAGTGGCTTGGTGTAATCATTGCGCTTGTAGACTGACACTATAGCTGGCTCAAAAAAGAGGAACAGTTCAAGCAAGTTCTTGAATGTATAGTTGTTTTGCCAAACAGACCCATGCGAAAGAGACGTCACGTTGGAGAAAAACATGTCGTGTAGCAAATTGCTGGCGGTCCTGACTGCTTCCGGTGGAGCGTTTAGGGAGTTTCGCCATGGCTGCTTTTGCCATGACGAGCCCATTGTCCAAAGAGCTTCGCTTGGCTGCGCAAGAGCCTCTCGGATGGTGGAACAAGAGCACCAAGAGCACGGGTCTGCAGCCAAAAGCACCCATGAACGCCAGCGGTTTCGGGTTTCATTCACGTGACGCTTTTCCTTATGCACTATATGTGAGGAGACCGTCCCAGAGTCCCGAAACGGGAGCCCCGTTGCACGGGAGACCCGAAAACGGTGACGTTTCCCGACCGAGATCCAGGTTCGTGTTGACGTTGCTCTGGGTCTTCGTGTCCATGGATGCCCACCTCTCAGCGACGACCTGCCTGGCCAGCTGTGGCAGGTAGCGGAGCGGAGAGCGGAGAGCGGAGCTGGGGTGGGTGGGTGCTACGAAGTACAGCATCCGTGACAGGGAGCTATATTATATTATACAAACGGAATGATACAGGTGACTTTATAATGAATTGCATTGGCACCCGGTGTTGGAACAAGAACAAAGTGATCAGCAATCTGCCTACCATTCTTCCTCCACTTTTGCTCACTGCTTCTCTACTTCCGCCACTCCCAACTCCAAAAAGAACACGTCTCGTCCATCCTCGCCGTCCTCGCCGGGTTCCGGTCGGCCAGGCAGGGCGCCATGAAGCCGTGTCCGCCGCCCACGTTGAACGTCCAAGTCTCCCTGGCCACGGGCTTTGCGGCGGCCGTGGCCAACGGACTCGCCTTTCGGAAGGCGCCGCGCGGGGCGGATCGCTGCTGGGGTCCCTCTTTTGGGGCAGGGGGTCAGAAGGAGAAGAAGGGGGGCCCGGAGTGTGTGGAAAAGACCTTTGTTAAACACATACATTAAGCATCAAATTGTTTGGGTGATGCGTTGATGAGAGTTCATGAGGGTTCTCTGTTTGGTTCATTTTAATATCATTTGGTTCTCCGAAGGTTCTTGCTTCGTGTCCTATAGCTTCGGTCCCTCTATCGTCTACTTCGTCCCTTTTCCTCGCTCCGCCCCGCCCCAGTCTCCGTGCCGTCGACCCGGTCGACCCTGTGACCCTGTCGGTCGACCGCCAGGCAGAGGAGGATCGCTCGGCCGAGAACTTTGGGGGACAGTTCAATCCGGCCGTGGCTTGATGGATCGATCCATGCGCGGTCGAATGGTCGAAGGAGACCCAAAGGGCTCGCGCACGCGATCGCCTTGGGGGGTCGCCGAACTGGGGGGCGACCGGTTTTGATGCCCTTCAATGGCTGGAATCGCAGGCCCAGGTTTTGAGGCAAACGCCGCCTGGAATTGGGTGGGATGCCAGATTTGGAAGATGGGGAAGGTCTTCGGAACTGCCAGCGTGGACGAAGTTGTCGTCCGACTTCGTCGTCACTTACGACGTTGGGGGTCGTTTTGAAAAAATGACGTCTGCGTCATCGTCCGAAGGATCTTTCTGATTTCGTTATTTGAGGTGACCTTGGCACTGGCGCTGCGTGGGAGCATGCCACTGAAGCGCCCCGCGGCGGTAAAGGACGCCGCGGCGGACACCGGTGAACAGCCGTGGGTGACGAGAGGATCTTTCGGTGGCGGTGAGTGTCAAAAGGAACGAACGCGAGGCGTTCAAAAGCCGTGAAGTTCGAGGATTGTGAGGTTCCAAACGGGGTTGGAAGACACACTTCTTGAAGAAGCTGTTTCTAAAAGCTGACAGATCTGACAGGTGAAGTGGAAAGTGTGCAGCAAGAATTGCCTAAAGGAGACCCTATGCTGATGTACCTTCGCAGTTTTTTCCGTTCCGTTTGGACCATGTGTTTGGAAGATGACACTGAAGTTGGTGCGACCACATTCCTTGAACAGTATGATCGCTCCGCGGCGAGGCGTTCTTCCTTCTTCTCCCCCCAAAACAAAAAATCCCTTAAAAGGCCCCGTCTCCACGCAGCGGTTTCTCCGCGTTCTCCGACTCCATCGGGATCCAAATCGATCCGCTGATGCGGAAGACGCCGCACCTACCGTGCCATCCAGGCGCGGTGGTCTTCGTGGTGATGCAGCTCCTGGCATCGCTGCTGGCGGCATTGCTGGCCTTGGTGGCGGTGGGCAGGCGTGGCGCCGTTCACGCCAACGCGGGAACGGGTGGCAGCTGAAACCGAGTTGGACTGTTGGGGAAAAGGTTCAACCATGGGGGTCGTGTGATGTTGATGACACGTTGACGTTTATCGACTTGTGATTTCACTCGTGATGACTGGTGAAGATGTTGAAAAGGACGAAGGGATACGGGATACGAAGGGACGAACGGATGTACATGAAGGGACTTCAGGCTGAAGCGCCCACTTTTCCCCTTCTTTTGGGGGGTTGGACCTTTCGAAAGAGATACCGGGTTCTTGGGTTCAACCACTTCTCATCACTTCTTTTTTTTGGGTGAAATCCCGCCATGGCCATGCAGCACTCTGCTGACACGCTGCCTGGAGCCAGGCCGTGCTTGCAAGACAACTTCCACATGGCCATGCAGCAGACGATCCTACCTGCAGGTAGCAGGCTGCTCTTGCATGCTGCTCGTCCGTGCATGTCCTCAGCGTCTTAAGCCATCAGGTCAAAGGACCTGTGGAGCGAAAGCCTTGACCTTCTTCCCTGACATGTCATCACACTCGTAGCCTGACTTGTGAAGCGAAAGCCATGGGCATCCATTTTCCAGGTTCTGCTGTCGATGGTGATCATCTTCGTTCCCATCTGGGCACACGATCGCCATAAGATGCCTGGTAAACCATGCGCTTGGTTGGCGTAGGCGTAGTCGATGAGTTGGAACGATTTGTTGTAGAAACACTCCTCGAAGTTTCGAAGGCAATCTTTTTTGCTTGATTGATTCTCCTTCAACCGATTGATGAGGTGATGGTTGCGACTTTTTGGTGTTCTCAAGCTGGCAATTGGTTTTCCAGCAGAAAATATTGGTTGACTGGTATTCTCACTGGGCGAGATCCAGCACATTGGTTGAGAATTTGGACTTTTTACAAAAAAGGGGGCAACCAAGAGAAAGAGAACAAGGGACAAGGATTCCGTGGTCTGGTGTGATTGGGCATCAAAGGTACTGGATCGCGTCCCTCAAATGGGTTGATATAAGGATTACAAGGTCTAAATCCGATTTTCCACAAGTAAGGAAGGAGGATAAGAGTTTCGTCCTGCAACCCTCAACATGGATTAGAAGACAGATGGATTTGGGTGTAGAGCAGAAAAACGGATGCGAACATCAATATTTGGGACCATTCTTACAAACTGAATCAGCAAGCCCCGATATCGTCCAGGTGTCTCAAAACAAGTGAACACCATGCCATTTGGATTGGACACAATGCAGCGGCGACCCGCCTTTGTCTCCGGAGCGCTCTGGACAGATAGCATGTGATGTCTATAGTGGTTGGCAAAGAGATAGTAGCACGATTTCAGTCGATTTTTAGTGGGGATTGACTTTTCTATCTATTTGATCTTCTATTTGGGTCTGTATAATCCCATCGAATTCCAACACCAACCTTTTTCCACCCACTGTCAAGTATTCACCAGGTCCCGATGCAGTTAGTCTAAAAAAAACAAACAGTGAGTGTCTTTGACCATCAAAAGACACGAACCTTACATTCTCGGACCTGACTTTGGGAGGAACCGAATTGTCGGAACCGAAGAGGGTCCAACTGGAACCGCTTTGCGTCCGCCTCCATGGCGGTCTGACCGACGGTCTTGGCCGTTGCATGGCGGTCGAAGTGCGACGCCGAGGAGCATGGCGGTGCCCGTGCTCGTAGGCGGGGCCGGCCGGAGCCCTGTGGAGCGGGGAGCGGGCGAGGAGAGGGAGACGAAGCGCCACGCCGCGTGCCTTTTCGGTGAAGACCTGAAGATCTGGATTTCTGCGGAGAAGAGTTGAGAGGTTGAGAGGTTGAGAGGTTGAGAGGTTGAAGTTCACAGCTTTTCTTTTTTTTGGGGTGTCATTTTCTAGGCCCCTTCAATCTAATTACTGGTTTGGACTGGATGTAACATCCATGGTGGTGCTGAGATTGACACTTCCAATCACCTCCATTGCTCATTGCTGGGGTTTTATGTCCATTGTCCATAGGCTTCCACTTCTCCAACACATCTCACCACCCCTTTGGGGCGGCCCTCCCCCTTAGGCACCCCAAACCCTCCCAAGTCGGAGGGTTCCTGCAAGGTCGAGTTTGTTCCCGCCGAAAGGGATTCGGAGCTGAAGGATATCTAATCAGCTGAGCAGCGGTCAGCGAGCGTCGTCGCGTGTTGTTTCTGCTGTTTTGATCCCCAAAGTTTGTTTTCTCAGCTGTGGTCAGCGCATCTGAAGGGTTGGACGCCGACAATCGTTGATGGACACGGGGTTTCCTTTACTTCCAAAGAGAGAGAGAGAGAGAGGGAGAGAGAGAGAGAGAGAGAGAGAAAGAGAGAGAGGGGAGAATGAGTGGTGTCCTCTTTTTGATCTTTTTGTGATAGGATGTCACCTGGAGAACAGAATAGCGGATGATTCCGCAACGACCTACTCGATCCTACTCGTACTACCACTATGTATACTATAACATCTACTATAGACTTTAAATACTATACCCTAGAAGTCCAAATGACCCATTTTCCTCCTATGGTAGTGGTGGATTATGACTACCAGGTTAAGTAAATTGGGTCATGGGAAGTTCTGGGATATACATCTACTGTATATCATAACTAGTGATCGATCGATACATGATCGCTGATCTGTTCTCTCGGCTCCAGGCCAAATGGTCTGGCTAACCGCGAAAGCACCGCTTTCGCCGCTTCAACGGAACCGACCGGACGACCCGACGACCCTCCGCTCTTGACGGTCGGAGAGGCTTCTCGTACATCGCGTGCTCGTTGACGGGACTTCCGCAGCTGATGGATGTGCCGAATTTGCTGCGCACCTTTGGGATCTTCCTCATCGGCGTGAGGTGAGGGGAGAGGGAGAAAGAGAGAGAGAGAGAGAGAGAGCGATGCCGTGGGTTTTGTTTGTTTGTTTAGGCAGACCAGGTGGTCGTGATAGAGGGGGAGCATAGATGGCATAGATGGCACCAAAATGGAGAAAGTGATTTGGTTTGGGTGAAGATGATGGAAGGCTGGGTTTTTTTGCTTCATCTCATCCTTTTTGAATCAGAGGTTGAGGCCTCCGATTGTTAGAACGTTATTCTCTTAAGACCCAGACCTGGTGCGTGGACAGCGGCCCATCCCATGGGCTTTTCCCATCTCACACGAGCACTCACTGCGACCTGACTTTGGCCGAACCCGACTTCGGTGAAGAGAGTTTCTCACCCACCCACCCACCCACCCACCCACCGGCGAATCGAAGGGAACGGATAGTCGAACACCGGTGAGCCGAGCGACGCTGATTGGCCAGCGACGTTCCACAGGAACTGGTCAATGGTCTGGACCACAGCTCTGGGCGCCTCACCCGCAGAGGATGCGCCGGGTTCGCGCCGGCTGCGCAGGGTTTGCGTGACAGTCGCACGCGATGGTTCCAATTGTAGCAACACAAACTGATTAGGTTTGGAGGATGTTGTCCTTTCAATTCCAGAAGGCGGTGGTGGTGTTTCTTTGTGAAGGCTACTTCGGGTAAGACCTGATCACTGCCTTGGCCCAGCGGGGTGGGTGCTTTCTTGTTGCATGGTGAGACCATTTATGTGCCGTTGCTTGGGATGGGGAGGTCACAATGCGGGGAAGTGTTTTGCAGTTGTAGCAACATCCATTCTACAAATAACTGGGGCATTGAGTCTTGGCGGGGGGGTCATGCTTCTTTCATGCTCCATCTACAGCATCTCAAGAAGGAGGAGTAGGAATAGGAATAGGAATAGGACTAGTAATAGTAGGAGGAGGAGGGTCCGCGGTGGTAATGAATAGCAAGTGACCTTGGAGGACAACTGTAGTTCACACGGTAGTTCACGAAGAGCCTCAGGTGTTTTTCGCAGGTTTTGCCGATCGTTGGGTTTCTGCCTAAGACGATGTGCAGCGGAAATGGGTTTTGGGACCACAGGTCAGCTGGGCCAAAAAGATTGAGGCATGCAGGCTTCTGGCTAGACCAATGGCGCATAGAAAACGCTTAGACCAAAAAGGTAGGGCCTGGGGCATTGGCATGAACAGCGCCCTCGGCCAACGGCTCTATAGTCCAATACCGAGCCGAGGTAGTTTGCAAGAACCCTCCAACCGTTCGTAGCTTCTTGGAGGCCGTCCGTAACGATGGCCTCCAACCTACTTTGCGATGGCCTCCACCGAGCATGGCGTCCTTGTTAATAGCATCACAGACCAATCCGAGGTAGTTTGCTTGCTGCTCCCTTGGTGGTCCTTTTGGACATGCTGATCTTCCGCGAGCCAACGAACGGGACCATGAAAGAGGAAGAGACAGCGCCCTCGGCTTTAAGCGGTCGGAGCGGCGCTGGAAGGCGGGCTTGGTGTTTATTGCGTCAGTAATCGGTGTTCTTCCAGACAGTCAACTTGTACGGTGTTTTGTCTACCAGCAATCGGTGTTTTTTGCGTCGGTGCTCCAGCCACGGTGTTTTTTGCGACAGTTGGTCGGTGTTTTTTGCGCCGGTACCCCTTTAGCTTGTCATCGTGGAATCTTGTAGCCGAGGCTGCCTTCTGATCACTTTTTTCGAACGCCAGCGGCCAGCAGCTCAAATAACGTGCCTGGCTGTTTCTGGAGTTTGGTCGCGGAGCTTTGGTCGCGGCCAAGGCTGCGCTGCCATCCTCCTCGAGTTTGGTCGCGGAGCTTGGTCGCGGAGCTTGGTCGCGGAGCTTGGCGCCCAGCGGCTTCTCACTCAGCGGTGGGGCTTTGCTCGTTCTTGTTGCCAAGGCTGCGCTGCCGTCATCTTCGCGTTGGGTCGCGGAGCTTTGGTCGCGGAGCTTGGCGCCCAGAGGCTTCTCACTCAGCGGTGGGGCTTTGCCAATTCTTGTTGCCAAGGCTGCGCTGCCGTCATTTTCTTCGAGTGCCAGCGGCTCAGCCGGTGCGAGTCAAGCGTTGTCGTTTTTCCGCTTCCCCCGGTTGCCCTCTGCATGTCCGTTGGTGCCTCCCTTGCTGCAAGTTCTGGTTCTAGAGTTTGTTCTGTTCCGGGGCTGCAGATTCCACTGCCGCACTCTCAGAAGTTTCTTGCAGTTGCTCTTGCTTCTCCCTGACTTCCGTTTTCCGTGCCGGTGCTTTCCACCAGGCTCCCCTGATGGCGCTGCGTTGGGCGGACGATCCTGACTGCGATTTGGAGGCCCGTTGCGCTGCAAACTTCTGCTGCGATGACTGCGCGCGGCGCTGCCAGGCGTTCGACGTGGACAGGTTTCTCCGCAAGTTTTGGGGCTGCAGCCTCACCTTGAAAACCCCTGTCCGGGCCTCAGTGCGTGCACGCCTGGACCGCTTTTGCTACAGAATCGTTTGCCAGGTGGGGTGGATCCATGTGCCGTGCAACGATGTTCCACAGGCCCCCGTGCAGAGTATGTATGTTGAGCTGTAAGGGCGTAGCAGCGTAACAGCCGTTGCTCGTTGCTGTCTTGCTGTGACAGGAAGCCCTGGAGCCAGTTCGCACGGTCGAAGCCTCACAGTTGCGCGACGTTTCGGGGTGGGACCGGTTCTTCATGGCACGTCCGCGGCAGGCCACCCCGTGCTCCCAGAAAAAGCACAGGTCCGTCAGTGTCAGACGTGGTTTTCACATGCTCGGTTCCTGCTATCCAGTCAGGCGCCGCCGTGCTCGTGGCCCGTGTGCTACCACGACGGAGGCGGTTAGCTGCGCTGTGTGCATCGGATGCTCGTATACTCCACTTTCCTAGGCTCGGCTGGTTTGTTCTTGCAGAGATTCGGCCCTTCCAGGATGATGCTTTTCTGGATTTTGCTTGGAGGCAAGCGCAGGAGGCTGGGTGTGGCTCGCGCCGACTTTTCGGTTGCCAGCGCATGAGACTTTTGACAGGAGTGTCCTTTCGGGCTGTTCTTCGACATAGCGTGGTGCCGGGGCCTTAGTCATTGTACACCTGCGGGGTTGGCTGTCTTTGTTTCTGCTTTGCTTCGTGTGAGGCAACACGCAGCAGTGGGGTCGCCCCACCCGGGCGTGGCGACGTTCTCTGGTGACGACTGCGTCCGGTCCTGATGACTGTGTTTAGTCTTTGGTTTTGTTGCGTTTGCACATCGTGAGGCTGCGCGAGATTTCCGACAACCGCGCCATGGCGCCGGCGCTGGAGCTCGAGGCTGGTCCATGCTTAGCTTGCAGCCGTTGGTACTGCAGGCCTTTTAAAGTTTGCAAAGGCATATAGAACGGTCAAGACTTGCGAGGTTGTGCACAGCGTGTCCGACCTCAGCCCCCACATTCCTTTTGGAACTGCTGCAGCGCAAGTCTTGACCACGTTCCGGTGGACCATTTCACGCAAGTGTCGCAACAAAGCAGCTCACGTTTCCAACGGCAACACCGCAGGCGGGGTTGGAGATCGTGGGAGGTCGGACTTCACGCTCGTCCGTTTCGTCGTGCTCCGTCGCAGGCTTCTCTTTCCGCGGCGTGTTTCCCAACGTCTCGGGCACATCCTGTTGGCTGGCTAGCTTGCTGCAGTCCATGTTTGCATGCTTGCCCATAGTTAATTCCATCTCTCAACACCAGCAGACCAGACAATGTGGAAGCTCTTGCTGGCAGTGTGCCTTGCGAGAAACGCATGCTGTGAGCTCTCCTCGTGAATCGGCGACTGATTTGGAGCCGGTGTGGACCGAGCCACTGCGCGGCTTGCAGCTTACTTTTGATCGCCAGCAAGACCCTTTGGAATTTTTGGGAAAGCTTGCTGCCATTGATCTCGGAGTCTTGAACATCTTGACAGTGGAATATTTGCAAACACGAAGCCATGAGGTGCGGTGCCAGTGCCCGATTGAACTTCCAACCTGTCAGCCCGTGCTTGCGCCACACCCAGTGGCGTTAATCTCTCTTCCACCCTTTGATGAAACTGCTGCCCTTGACTTGACAGACTTGCTTTTACCTCACAGCGAGGAGATTGTTGATGGAGGTTTGGAATGTCCACTTTGCAAAGTTAAAAGTGTGTTGCATCAAGTTTCATCATGGCACTTGGGGGCGCAAACACAGCTGTGCGGTTCAGGGGCAGGCCAGGATCGGT